TAGCTTAATATAGCAATTGTTACAAATAATTATTTAATTCTATATTCTGATACACACTAAACTAGAATGATGGAGGTAAGTAGGTTCACATATAGCGTTCATGAAATAAATAAAAAATGGACACGGTTGCTTATAAGTTGCTGATATATTCAAGTTAAATCTCCTTTGCAGCAGCAGCAAGAATTTGACCTCTTTTGGAGTGGAGCACTGGAGTGTCCTTTTAAGTAGTTCACTTGTTTGTTTTACATAAATTGGATATATCATTGCTGCACGACAATATTTTTGTGGAAATAATATAGAAACAATTGGAAATTTGAATATGTTACATTTTAACCTCCACATTATCATTGTCAATTTTGCTGACACGGATGACTGATTAACTGTTAGTGCTGGTGGTGGGGCAGTACATAGACAGGTCTCCCAATGGTCCTGCTTTCATCGTGAGAGACCAGCCCCTTATGGGAGTGCCTAGTGACTCGAGTCATGTAACTGTTGATGCCCCTTCAGTTACCTCTCCACCGCATCCTGATTCTTCCCCTCGATTGTTGGAAGGTATGCATAAAGTTATATGGTAAACATATGACATCTCTATCTCAAAGAAAGGTCTGTAATCAATTGCAGAGCGTCTATTTGGGGAAATGTTGTTTTTGTTTCAGAAGAAACTGTCACTTCGTCACTTTTAGCACAACCAAATAGCCAACTAGACGTTAGCTGTTGGTTATGCTAAACATTTTTTAAAATTCTTTATATCTCTTTAGATTTTACATTGCAAACGATGCTGGCTAAGGCTTGGCAAATTATGTAAATAAGTTAACTCTCACAATGGCAACCACGTGGCGCATGGCGAGAAAGCTCAGCAGTACAGTATGGAAGCATGTGTCATGTGCACATGCACGTGTGCAGAAATTCTCCATTAAAAGCATGTATGTGCACCCAAGGGATCTTTGCGGCAATAAAACAGGTGCAGCAGAGGTGAATATTTTTTTTTCTATAATTCCACTGGTTTATTCACACCAGTAAATGCTGAAGTAGCTTCTACTGCAATGAAGGAACAAGGAACTGTCATTTTTTTGTAAGGGGCAGCTCCTAATTAAAGGACCACTATAGTCACCCAGACCACTTCAGCTCAATGAGGTTTCAGTGCCAGGTCCCCCAGGTTTTAACCCTGCAGCTGTAAACATAGCACTTTCAAAGAAACTGCTATGTTTACATTGCACGGTTAATCCAGCCTCTAGTGGCTGCCTTCTTGACAGCCACTATAGGCGCTTCCCCGACGCTCAATGTGAAAATCGAATTGAGTACACAGAACGTCCATAGGAAAGCATTGAGAAATGCTTTCCTATGGGTGTTTTAATGCGCGCACGGCTCTGGCCGCGCATGCGCATTCGGCTCCACTCTGGAGCTGATGTCGGAGAGGGAGGGAGCCCGGCGCTGGATAAAGGTAAGGTTTTAACCCCTCAGCCCAGCGAAGGGGGGCCCTGAGGGTGGGGGTCCTAAGGACTATATAGTGTCAGGAAAACGAGTTTGTTTTCCTGACACAATAGTGGTCCTTTAATTATTTTATTAAAAAACTAATCCCACTTTGCATTAGAAAAGAAAGGTTGTGTATTTAAGAAAATGCACACCTCAAACACAGATTTAAATTCAGTTAATTAATGTTAAGTATTGTTGTTCCATATAACCTCATTGTTGATTGCTTTTCTATGTTGCAGTTGGTCACTGCATTATTTAGCTAATTTTTGTAAATACTTTTTGATGGTATGTTGAAAGGTTTTTTTGAGTGCTAAAGCACTCTGAATTGGTGAGACATACCTGCTGACAATTCTTAACAGTTTTTCTTCTGACCTTGAAGAACGCAATCACATTTGATCCCTGGATTCCTTTGCACATTGACAATACCCTTGTGCTTATTCCTAGCAGTTCTCAATTATTTTTACAGTAATTGTTACCACATATTCTCCTGGGAAACATTTGCTAAGAATCCAACATTTTTTTTCAATGAATAAGCATGTTCTCACCTTACCAATTACCAAAAAGCATTGGGACCACAGTGTCACAATCCTTTCTGTTTATTAGCAAAATAAAGCAGAGTCTGACACTTTGAACATCACTCTGATATCATGTTCTGATACTCTAGGCATTCCCCTGAGTCTAGAATGGAGATTATTATAAATTCAGACATTAAATCTAAATGTTTTGTGTATCAAAGGGTTTATTACACAATCAAATATGTGTATTCTGTAAACTGGAGGTTCTGGTGAATTTAGGCAAAAACAGCAACATAGATTCCAAAACAGAAAAGAGTTTTTAAGAAAATGGAGAATTCTACCAATAGACCTACTTTGACTTAATTTCTGGAATTGTAAGTTCACCATGAATCACTGTTTAACAACAACAGCATTGTATTGTGTCAGATCTTCAGTATTTCTGCAGATCTGCAATGACATCAATGTTGGGAATTCAGACAAATTACTCCAGTCAATTACCTATTTCAAATGCATTAAACATGACTTCTCAAAAAAAAAAATCTACTCTCCTTAATCTCAGTCAATCAGTTTCTCTTAAAAGAGAAATTGATTGCTAAATACATAATAATGCATAATATTTGACTGAATCCTGCATTTTCAGACCAAATGACACTTTTAATTATTTATATAGTTCCAACATATTCAACAACACTGTACAATAGGGAAAAGAAGACAAACAATTGTAAAAAAACAAACAAAAACAAAAAACGTTTATAATACAAGAACAATAGGATAGAAAGCTTAAAAGTGCCTCAAAGAGCTTGAAATCCCTGAGGAAGAAACTCCCGAAAGATTCTCAAATTCATCAATTTCAACTTTCTGCTTATGTCAAATAAAAAAAATTAAATAGAAACATAAAATACAGAATCCCCAATTATGCAGTAGAGACCCTGCAATAAAGTTCTTTCTATACCCAGCCATGGCTACTCATCAGCTCCTGGGAGATTAAAATGTATGATGTGCACAGGTCAATTAGCTCCACACCAATGTGCCATGGGTGTGGGGCTAATTGTTTAGTCTCTAATGCTAGCCATGTGAAATTAGATAATGTGAAATATGTATAGCACTACACGTCTAGTGCTGTTTCTTAAATAAAGAAAACATATAGTTTATAATTTAGATTGGACCAATACTCCCCCATGGTAAAGGAGGAGTCCAGAACCATACAGGTAAATACAGATGACAATAATTTAATTCATTTTTGTGAGTTCATGCCATCTTTACAATCCTGTCCTTAAAAGACTTAGCCAACATGGAATGTATCCAAGTGATGAATTGAGATTTATTGTTACCGTAGGCTCAGTTATGTTTATATGCCATTCCTGAACATATAAACAAAACCCACACACTGTATGTCAATTGTATGAATATACACTTGAGTTCAATGAATATAAAAAATATGCATGGGTGTACTGTATGTATGTGTGTGTGAATATTAATATTTTTATGATTGATATATATCTCCTCTGAGACTAACAGGGTGACTTAAAACAAATATATTACAGGAACAACTACACTCAGGCGGCACAACATAATTCATTAAATTCTTTATTTAATAAAAACACACACCTTAGTAGAACAACCCTCAACAATTAATAAATATTATGATCCTGCTATGGATCATCCTGCATAGGTAGAAGAGAAAAGACATAAGTGGGCACTGATTTCAACAGGACTGTCCCATTTTGCAGAGCACAAGTACATTATTAGATTCTCTGTCCATGGTCCTGTTAGCTGGCATGGCCAGGCAGGTCTCTTCAGTGTACATGCCCATCCATTATGGGCATCACCAATGGCACAAGTCCTGATCACGTACCTCCCAATATTGGAATATATGCATAAGTAAAGTTCAAGATAATTACTAGGTACCAAATTGATAGGTGTTGGGGATAAAATCAGCCCGGGCCCTTTGTGGATGATGGATATTTGCCAACTCATACAGAGATCTGGAAATTGGAAATGAATAGCAGAGACATGTTCAATAACCAATTCCTCTCTTTAGATCATATCGTGATCTACCTTATGGAATATCCATGGGAGGCCTGCGGCAGAGAAACCAAAGGAGGTAGAATTCAGACGTGCTAATCACGTCTGCAGGACTTTCTTTATTTCTTCACCTCGCTTTCCCCCATTTGCTCTGTGCCGTAGGATTTCCCTTTAAGAGGAAATCGAGCTGTCGATTTTCAGCTTCTGTAATCATCTGTTGTACACATCTTTTAAGTGTACAAGTTAAATATTTCAAACAGCTGACATCTTAACCAATTTTAAACATACTGCACATCATGTTATCTGTAACTTGAGCCTTGGATCAAAACAGGCAAAGTGTATTATTCCCAACAACGGGAATATTATTATTATAATTCACAACGTAAACACATATAATCAAAAATGGGAATAAAATCTATTTCCCCTCTTTGGACCAGGGTCTTGGATTACCAGTGCACCCAGTGAACTTGGGCCAGGTCAAAAAACCCAGTGGCAAAAACTCATAATTGAGGAAAAAAGCACATCTGGGTAAATTCTAAGTGAGGGCCATGACTGTGTAAACATGTCATCCCCTCACGTTGACAGCATTAGTGACTTATAAAACCTGCACTTTGTAAGTAAATAGCTCAGGTATCGGGATTGGGAAACACTTCTTGATTAGTTTGAAAAGGCCCACTTACATATTAAATCATAAGATAATTTCTAATCAGTTTGCAATTCTAACAATAGTCCTAATCATGACCTTGCGTCCTATGTCTCCTAATCACATCCCTATTTCGATAGTCCAGTCATATCCACACTTAATACATTGGAATCCATCCTTGGTACACTTAACATACATCAATGACACACATAGTACATCCATGCCTGAGTAAGCTAACACTTCCTCTCTTATATGCTTATAGAACATTTGGACCAGATTACACAGACATGGTATCACCTGCATTTGTCAGAACTCTCAAAGACTCAAAATATTTATACTACTCCATGTTAAAGGCATGGCAAAATTTTGACCGGTCAATTTGAGTTTCCAAAAGTCATATCAACACACGTTAAAACCTTTGTCCATGGTTTTCTGATCCTACATTCCATGACCAAAATTTCAAACCCACTTCTTCACAGTTTGGGTCACAATCAATAAAATCTCAGCATCCCCATTCAACAATTTACAGAATACATACAATTTAAAGCACATACAACATGTGACGTACTGGAATTCTACAAGTTAGCTTACAGCACAAAAATTAAGCATGTGTTGGAACGCTGAAAATATAAATTTTGCTCTCTTCTAAATTTACAACATAAATTCTCTGCAACAAACACACAGGGCAGAAAGAATGTGGTGTTTGACATTTTGAATGAAGTGACTTTTTGTCCCAATATGAAAATAAAGGGCTCATCATATAAACAATCATACATCCCACTCTCATGAAAAAGTGTAGTGGGCTTATAGTACTTTTGTCCAAGTATAAAAATAAGGGCTCATTATGCAAACAAACATACATGCAGAGAAATCATGTTAGTTCTAGAATTTGTAGCCCCCCTTAAATAACCTCTAATTTTTTTCTTATTCATCATCACCTTTACATGTACTTTTGACATTCCCTCAATTAAGACTTTATGCTTAAAATCAGCGTTGCACACCATAAAATAGCACATAAATTAGCAAGCCGGAGTAATGCCAAACATCCATCATCTTTTTTTTTTTTTTTAAACCATTTTAGCCTGCAAAATTTACATCTACGTTAAATAAATACCATAGTCCACCAAAGACTGGAAATCTGTTTTACAACCTACCAAAGGCAACCTCTACCAAAGAGGGATCTAGGGACGTCTCCCATATGTAAATGTACATCACAGGACATCACAGCCTACCAAAGGCTTGAAATTCTTTTTAACACCTGGCCAAAGGTGAACCTCTTACCAAAGAGGAAATGTGCACATAACTACTACTGCCTACCAAAGGCAATCCTCCAACCCGTGGAGTAATAGAAGTATACCAAAGACTTAACAAAATACCATGTCTACCAAAGACATTATCCTGTGAAAATCCCCTTTAAAAATGTAAATAGTGAAAAACCCCATTAAAACAAGAAATGCAATGTGTGGGAGGATGGCAAAAGCAGGCAAAGGTCCCCAACCCCTTAAGGACACACGACAGAAATACTCCGTCATGATTCCCTTCTATTCCAGAAGTTGTGTCCCCAAGGGGCTAAAGATCCTCTTACCTGTATTCTGTGTTCCCAATTGCACCCAAACTTCTGACACCAGTTTGTTGGGGATAAAATCAGCCCAGGCCCTTTGTGGATGATGGATATTTGCCAACTCATACAGAGCTCTGGAATTGGTTATTGAACATGTCTCTGCTATTCATTTCCAATTTCCAGAGCTCTGTATGAGTTGGCAAATATCCATCATCCACAAAGGGCCCGGGCTGATTTTATCCCCAACAATAGGTTCCACCCTATCATAAAGAGAAAACCTGAAATAATTATTTACAATGCTGGTATCAGTCAGGATAAGGTGTTACCTTATATTTAGTATCCATTGAGATGTTCCTGTGAATGCAACCTTGGGCAGTGATGTCAACAAGAATAACTTCAAATCCATGAAGCGTAGCAGGCCTTTAGGGGCAACACAGTTCTCAGATAGCCATTATGCAGATATGATCCACCGCTGATGTTAAATTAAACAAAATGTTATCTAGCTCCATTTGCCACATTTTCTATCACAACATAATTATATAAACACAAAAATATACCGAATTGCACAGTTATATATTTGATTAGCCATAAATAGTTATCCTAACTAGTAGCCATTCACCCATGTTTTATTAAATAGCTACACTCATTCTATCAGCAATTGTCTACATTCACATACTCACTAGAATTCTCATTCAGCTGCCACAACCCTTTTGTGTCACTTGAAAAGGACATCCGGTCTTTGCACAACCTCTTCCTGCTGTCACTGGTGAGCTACTGGTTGACAAGCCGAACTGCCTGTTATCTGATTAAAATGTTAATAAGAAGGGTTGGGGAGAGTTCCACAAGTGTCAATGCCAGACTCTCTACCTTGCTGTCCTAGGCTTAAACCTAGTTGGCCTATGTGAGAATGTCTCTGAACATCAATAATAGTATTTACCGTAAGTGACTATTTAGCCCTGCAAATGCTAAATGTAAAAGAAAGGTTCCCTTTACCATATTGTTATAACAAGAACCAGTCTTTGACGAGTTACATTTTGTAGCAATAATACGAACAACTACATGGCTGTTAGACTGACTTGTTAGTTACCACCTGCTTTTTCCCTGCATACCTATTTTTTAATTTTTTTATTCTTTATTTTCGTAGTGAAGTGATTGACAAACAAGCTTATTCAGACATATCAGCAATAATCAATGCGATAGGTACATTTGTGTATGCATAACAGGACATGTGAAGAGAATTGCAGTTTTTTATGTTTTATTTAAACTATGTCCTCATGAGCGACACAAAAGATATAACAAAAACAAGCGATATAACTTAATAAGGAGTTTTAATCTTCGTCATGAATCCATATTTAATGTGAGCTCAGTGGCTTAGTTAGGTCAACACACCAGTGCTGCTAGCCTATGACATTATTGCTTTATGATACTCCTATATAGAAACTAGGAGGTGACAAGAGAATAATTTTAACTAGATCATTTAACTCTGGACATTAGGGACCATGCTGCTGCAATAGTCTTTAGCAAACATCATACAAGCATTAGAAAAATAAACAAAACATAAACAAAACTGTGGTGGTCATCTGTGACCCAAGCAGGCCAGTAATAATTATGGGGTGCTATGGAGTAGGGTTAGTGTGAGCTGTGACTAACTCCATATGCGCAGTCTAACATGCAGAGAGTTTGCAATGCCCGTGCTTGCCCACCGGCCCCCCCAGCCAGACAGAGCCCCTTTGATAAGAGCCCAGCTGCAAATTTCTGGTAGCAATGACTTGAGAGGAGCGTGATGCAGTGTTTGGTCAAGTATATGTTCTCGGTTCGTGTGGGAGAAGCTTTGGGGTATGTCCCCTTGTGGAAAGTGTGGTGGCGGGTAATGGTCACCCTGGTGTCTTGGCAGGCACATTGAGGTTGGGACAGCATACTCTTGTGTTGCAGGAGTTGTTGTTGTGTGGATTTAGTCCACTGAGTCAGGCCCAACTTGGTATGCAGGGTAACATGAGGTGTATTGCTCAGTCTCTGTTCCTTAGGTCGGGTTTCTGTGCTCTCCAATCTCTTCCAGAAAGCAGTGAAAATCCTATCCAGCCGCACCTCAATTGACTCCATCAGGTCTTGTAGCAGGGGATATTGCGCCCGCCATCTTGGATCGTGGTAGTTTGTCTCGTGTAGTGGCTGCCTATAAGGTTGCAGGCCTTTCCGCAGTAGAGTTGCAATAGCTAGTGAGCAGGTGCCAGGATAACCCTCACCAGCAGGGGGGAGGGAACCCCTACTCCCCTACTGCCTCCACTCGCTCCAGCCGGAATATCAGCGGGGAGATCAGCCACCTCTCCCCCTCTGTACCCACGCGAAGGCTGCAGTGAAGTGTCAGGGTTACACCACCAGCCGAGCAGCGAAACACCTCCAAATGTGCCTTGAGGTAATGCAGAGTGTCTCCGCTACAGTTAGTGTCAGTTTCACATTGTATATGCCGGTATTACTGCTTAATTAAGAGAGCTTCACCTGGAGCTCATGCTAGTTGCGTCCGCTCAGCTTGACGGTGGGTCTCCGCCTCTCCCTGCATACTTGTTTTAACAGTACACATACACTGATCAGCCACAATATTAAACACTAGTAGAAAGTAGGTCCAGCCACTCAAGGTTTCTTCAAAAAGGGCGATTTATTGAAACCATGAATGTGCAAAGTTTTGGCCTACACTGAGGCCTTTGTCAAGCTGTCACCACATTGAATTAATTCCCTATTTAAAGGGTGTAAACTTTGAATATTAACACAATTAGTAAAAAACATATATACAATCAATCAATTAAGAAACAAATTGCTTCATATTTTCAGATATCCCTCCAGCAACCCATTGGAAACCAGAACTTTACAAATGAAAACCAGAACAGGAAACCAGAACTTTGCACAGGAACTCCATATATAGTCAAAAAATGGAGCCTTCCTTACTGCCAACCAGGCATCTATACACTTGACTACCAAAGGTGGAGTCGCCGACCGAAGATGGCTAGGGCCAAACTAAATACATACTCACAGCCAACAGAGATCGACGTGAGTCTAATAAACCTGGACTAAGCGACAGGAGAGGCTCATAAATCAAAGAAAAAATTTATATTACTGAATAAAAAATAACCAATACTAAAAATGCATAAGTATGAAATAAATGAAGGGATGGAGCAACATCCCTTCATTTAATAAAGGATAATGACATATCCAAATAGATATGTATGGGATATGTATATATGCAACACATAATCAGTAATACATTTACACATCAACTACAAGTAGTGCAATATTGTAAGACTGGGAAAGGGCAGGAAGACGGGAAACTACAAAAATTTATTATTTTTTTTCATCCACCAATTACACATTTACCAGCATAAATAAATATTGAAAAAATTTGAAAGTGCAAAAAGTCCTAAAAGTAATCTTAAGACAAATATGTAAAAAGCAGCTGAAGCATATAAAGATTATCCCAATAATTAAACAAAGAAAACTAATACGATAAAAATTAGAGAAAAAGCCAGCACAACATATATATTAAAATACACATATGAATCCAACACTTATTGAATAAATTCAAAAATATTCTGTGTTAAACCTGTAACTGTTAAAAGAGCCACTGTTAGAAAGGCAAAGATAAAAACGACCAGCTCTTTTGTTACCAGTCTCTTGCTGTATTCTGCTTTCAATAAATATATGTAATTTTGTATCCAGATATGCAATTACTTTGTATCCACTCCAGAATGCCACAAGATGTTACCTTAAAAAAAAAAAAAAATACAATACAATGCATAGTGTGATACTGTAAATGTATTCAACAAATATAAACCACTAAATAAAATTCTTACACAAAAAAATGAGACTTACTGCTAAGCTCACAAAATAGCAGTTTAGGTGAAATGGGTCAGATGTCTTTACCGTTCTCCTCCACACAGCACACTGTCCACCAGTAACTGTTTTCAGAGGTTGGAGCTGCAATCTCATCAAGACACTAACAAGTTCAGTCTTCTTGTTCCTTACAACCACCACTTCAACGCGTTTCGCCCATATGAACAGGCTTTGTCAAGATGAGTGTGATGCAATCTTTCTCCCTTTTTAGCAAAATGTACTATAACACAAAAAGGCAATAAAACTTGATCTGCAAATTTAGAACATTCAGTAACCAATCAACATGAATCACAGTCTCTAAAAGAGATGACCGCTAACTGATCTTCCTGTTTTGTGCTGCACACATTCAGGGAGATATACGAATAACCAACCCATAACAAACATCAGGATGAAGAAAACATTCATGCGGAAATTACAAGATCAAATGAAAAGGGGGGTTATACGGATGGGATAATATTCACCTCCTGTCTTTAATAAAATCTATATTTTCTGTCAACAAAGGCTCAGCTTAAGCATGTTAAAAACTGACAAAATATATTATCAGAAACAATTACAGAATCACTGAAGATACAAGCATTTCAGGGTTAAAATAAACATTTTAAAAGTTGAAGCTGAAGACCTATTGGCTGCTTTAAGTGTGTCACCCAAATAATTTCCAGCTTCAAAAACTTTAGTTGACATAGCACTCCTAGAGGAGTGAACTCCGAAATTAGAGGTGTCAATACCTGCCATAGACATAGTGAATCTAAGCCATCTAGCTTAGGAAAAAATGTTTTCTGAAAAGAAATGAGAATTTGAGAAAAGTCAGGATTTCTGAAAGGTTCTGTTTTGAGTTCAGGAAGGATAGAAGACAGATTGAATCCTTGTTTTAGTACTCCTATGAACTTTGAAACAAATACCATTAGGCAAATAAACTATACCAACCATAGTAAAACTGTGAGTTTAAAAGATATATTTTTTTAAGGATAGTGTCTCATTGTCTTCCTAAGACTCTAATAAATTGAGAAGTAATGAAATGTCCCAAGTAC